TCCTTATTAACGTTCTGTGGGCGTGCTGTCGTCCAAAGATTCCAAGCTGGACCTGATTTGGAATTGGGGCATCAAAATCATGTAGCCAAAATAATTAATTACCTAGTTTCCAGGTGAGTGGTTGAGAAATGGGATTGGCTCTTCATCTTTAAGACAAATACTAGTGTGGCTATGATTGCAAGAGTTATGATTATTGCTCCTGCTGCAATGGCAGCAAAAATTGCACCATTATTCTCGTTATTAGCTGCTGGTATCACTGTAGAGTAAGAAAACCAAAACACACAGCAACCTCAAAGAGGGCAATAGCTAACGCATTGGCAATAACATTACAGCGAACCTACAGATTCCAAGGAGGTACAATTGTATGGGAGTGGAATTGCACCATTTCTCTCATTATTAGCACTTGTGGTATTAGCTGTTGGTATCACTGTAGAGTAAGAAAACCAAAACACACAGCAAACTCAAAGAGGGCAATAATGCATTTTCAATATAGCTATGCACATTTAGCGAACCTACATAATTATTATTATTTCGAAGGGGGTATATACAATTGTATCGGAGTGGACTCAAGGGTTTTCCAGGGTCTTCACAGACAATAAAGTCAATCCCCTCCTCAATGAAAAAGCACTAAAGTGTAAACCCTCCTCCTCCCCTGCGTTTACTCGTGGTCTTCCTCTAGTAGCTCGCTGAGAGTATGACACGGGCCAGCTACAGTAGCAGATAGCATGCGGGAGTCCCTTCGTTGTGACTTATTGTGCCTTCAAGATACACAGAGAGAGCGAACCCGCTCGATGTAAGCCTGTTCTAATTAGCATATTGGCTTTTTCGCTCGTGTTTCATGCTGTAATTACCTCTTGAACACAGCAGTTTCAGAGAAAACCCAACATATTTTTCGACCTTTATCCGACGCTGAATACGTGGTATTGTTTGTGGAGCGATTTATGGCTCGTAAAGTGAGATGTTGGGTAACGGACTGACAGACAGACAGACAGACACACACGACAACTACAGTAACCCTCGCTACGCATGCGCACCGAGGGTTAATAATTATGGCTGAAATTACTGATTTTAACCCCATATGCAGCCAACCAAAAAGGAGACTGAAGAGCAGCTAAGAGCTGAGGTATACATGTACGTAGAGTAATGATATATAGTGGGGTGTGGGGTGAGGGTGCAGAATGTGCAGTGAAGTTAAAACCTCAACCTACTACTCCACTCACATACTTGCAAGGAATGCAAAATTATTAAACCGCACGTTGAGGGGGTATATTGTACATACGGTAATTTGTGACATATAATTTAGTGCTACCTACATTTACACACACAACACCAGTGCAAAATTGTTGGAGAATCAATACCACGCATTACATGTATAGTCAGTACAGTATTTCGAGCATGAAGTTCTTATGCAAATTCTGTTGCTTATTAAACACTTCATTCAATCACTTATATAAAGCCCGTTGTCACGACTAAGTTGGATTTGCCAATAATAATTACATAAAATGAGGAAAGATAAGGTGACATTTTTCTGTTGATGTAAAAAATAGGGACAAAACCCCGTAATACTGCACACATTGACTGAGAATCGGGTTACTGTTTCTTTTAGCTCCTTTTGGTAGTCTTTTGCTCATGTTCTTTAAAAGGGGATTCAGAAGTCTGGAACGGATCAACAAGGGGAGTAGCTATAATTGTCCCACCGACCCCATGTTTCCTTGAAGGACTCTTAAAACACTTTTAAATGTTCTTGATAAGACCCAATATGCTTCTTCCATGCAATAAAAGTACCAACAAGCAATGAATTATGAGGACAATTAAGATAATGGCGTTAGTGGAGCAGTTATCCTTACATTGCTTCACTATTATTTGTGACTCATTGCGTAGTGCTGAAGTGATGTTGTCTATCACCACTCTATCACCTACAGTAGAAATAGACTATAGTAATGAACAGAAACGTATAATAAACGGTTCTTGTGAGCCTTACCAGATTCCTCCACTTGCACTTGCGTTAGATTGTGAATCGTTTTTGTGTCGTTTGTGCTACATTTGATTCCTGTTCTCTCGCCATAGCTTGAGCAATAGATTATGGAACCATATTCCGTGTTGTACCCAAACGGTAGAGCAGGGTATTTTCCATCCGTGATTAAAAGTGCCCAATTGTAACCATTCCCATCCTGAAGATGATTGTTGGTTGAGTATGGATGAGTTCCCCATGGTGGCCACATGCACATTCTTGTATCATTCTTACAGCGATAAAAGGCTGGCAACTGGATGGTTTTATATGCAATACTGCTCAGATTATCAAATGTCACCTCATTTGCAACCTACACAAGTGGAGGGAAGTATAACTGCCACTCAGTTCTCTATACATTGTCCATACCGTTTCAGTTGCCATCAACAAAGTCCCTACAAAGATCCACATGATTTGGACAAAACACTGTAGATAACTGCAGAAACTGTGCTAGACTGATGGGCGGTTGTTTATTATAGTTCCCAGTTACGTACCATGAATCTGAGTAAAGGGAATTTGCCAAGACAACCTGACACATGGAACATTGAGCAATCATAGGCATGTGCATTGAATCAACAATGATTACATCACTGGAAAAAGTCCCTGGGTGTCTGATGTAGGTGGGCCAATAATCTCATCAGTACCCTGGTGACTGGATGTGACTATGACTAGTTCACCTCTTGTTCAATACTGTAAAAGAAACAGAAAATGGCCTAACATATCTTCTCCCTATAATTATACCCCTGGGAACACCTTCACACGCTCCCTCACTCTTTCGTCTCCTCACTAAAAGGATTTATCACAGGTGGTGCCAGGACAGCGAATGATCTCAGCAGAGATTAGAACAATAGTCCCTCGCTTTATGTGTTTATCATTCCAAAGGTTTTGTTTTGAGACTTTTAATTCAGTTGTTTGTGTGACCAGTGTATGCACATAGTGCCTGTGTAATGGACGGTGTGTAGTAGCTGAGCCTTAGCCAACACAGACAAATTCCCCACTGTAGCATGCACAGGAGATTTCTCTGGAGAGGACTAAACCAGACCCCCAGCAGTTACCATGAATGTCCACAGCAGATGATAGAGTTCCAGTGTGAGATACTGGTACCAACTACCACACTAATATGGGATCTACATACTGGAGAAATGTTGGAGTTTGGGGTCCTGAGGGGAGTCGGAGATGTTCGTTCTCGTCTGGAAATGTATACAGTGCCACTCTGACTGCGAAGAGAGAGGATGATGATCCATCCACTGAGAGGTTCTTCTTCGCCTCAACACTCCTGATTCAGGAGCCTGTGAATCAAACAACTCTGACGTGTACTGGAGGTGGTGGAGAAGATCCTGTGGACAAGAGCACCACAATAACACAGGGTGGTGAGATCGATGATTCATTCTGTGCTCTCACAAATACTTACCTGAGCTCTATCGTGACTGCCGTAAACTGGGATTGGACCGAGCATAGCAACATACCAAGGGTTGGACCCTCTTGCCATTATGTCTAACACTTAGCATAGTAAGCATCCTCTATAGTTCAGGCGTAGTGAGAAGAGTGTTGTGACTATTTGTCCAACCCAAGCTCCTCTCCTATGCAAAAGGCCTGGGTTTTAATGCTTACAGAATCATGCCAATCCTTATGGTGACAGGTGGAAAAATCATTTCTTCAAAATGAAAGGGGGATATAGGGATGGCTTGAAGCACCAAAAAGGAAGAAACAAGGGGTCATTACACAGCAAAGTTGCACAAAGCTACATGACACCATCCCTATATCTTTGTCTCATAGTAAACTTTACTTGTGAACTATATTATATAACACAAAGATATAGGGATGGTGTCATGTAGCTTTGTGCAACTTTGTTTCTTCCTTTTTGGTGCTTCAAGCCATCCCTATATCCCCCTTTCATTTTGAAGAAATGATTTTTCCACTTGTTTCCACTATTTTTAACAGCTTTTGGCATTTATTGTTACAGTCACTCTGATGTTCATGGCTATGTTGTAGATAGGCTACCATAGACAAATTGTAAGTAGTAGCTAATGGGGCTGCTAGATACCATGTATTGTCTTCAACAAGGATGTAATTAGATTATTGCACATGGTTTTTGGTTTAATTGGCAGGCTTTGGTAATCAGGCTACAACCTGGGGGGGACAAACAATGAAGGCCCATTTGACTGAGTGCCCCGCAAGGCTAACACCGCGCAGACTCTGGCAAGTTGCTCTTCGTGCAAATGAACAGCAAGATAGCCAGTTGGAAATGTGCACACTTACTTACAGAAGGTACTGGAGGCTGACAGTTCCTCTGCAGGTCTGCCAACTCGCCCGGTAGAATACGCTCGCAAGCACATTATTGGACAACGCCCCTGCCTGGCGCATGCGCGCAGATCACTGATGCTGAGTAAGCAGCAAATGGCGTTGTTCAGGTCGACCATGGAAGAGCTCCATGATCTACCGTAGTCACTAGCGGCAAGAAAGAAACGATCGCTTGATGTCCGTGCACACCTCCGGCGAAATTGGAGACCTTCAGTGAAAAAAGCAGTGCTTGAACTGGTACTGGTAAGGAGATAGCGGGTTTAAAGAAGAAGAAGATGAAGAATATGATAACACCAAAATCGTGAAATCGCGTATGAGCGAATTCTCGCGTGGACGACTGAAGGTGCGTATGATGTCTTGGGGGACATGTATAGGTAGATATGGGCCCGTAGACTATTGCTAGTATGTTTTTAAGGCCTAGGAAGTGATTCTCACCGAGTTTTTAGTCGTTTTGTACGCGGATCACGTGAGATTTCACCCGTCTCATCCCTATATAGAGAGTCTACCGACTCTCTAATATAAGTGTTGGTATTATGAGTCAGGGGGTATTATGGGTAAATATTCCAAAAAGCTGCCAAACACTGTGTAACTGCTTCCTACCGTCGGGACGTTAGCCCAGCAAATCGTCGCCACATTTTAACACGTGCTGCGGGTTACATTCCGACAAAATAGCCAAAAGTCAAGAGGTCACAATGATTGCATCACTGACTCAAAGGGTTTAATTTGGGGGAGGTTATAAATGAATGTTTTGGTCAAATTATGATTAATTTGTGGTTTTTTGCTTTTTTGTATATCTAAGTAATTATTGTGAAACACGACTGGGTAACTGTTTGCTTCATCAAAGAATACGTTTTTAAGTCGACTCATAATACCATCACTGACTCATAATTGCTGCTTTTAGAGGGTTATAGCTAAAACAAATATTTTGCATTACCTACTATGAATATATTCTGAAACCGATTTGATTTTTAGAATCACCATGTCTTGATAGTCATGTAACATAAATTTCACTTTAATTCACCAGTATTTGGAGGAAAAATTAAGAAGAAAGTTTAAGTAGCTCAAAATACCAACATCTACCTTACGTAATATATGTCGTGCAGGACATGGGCATATTTTTTTAATTATACCCAGCACAACACAGGTTTAAAAGAGCTTCCTTGCTTGAACCACAACACTTTGCAGTCTAGGCAGAGTTACGCTAACTTTATGTTTAAGTGCCACCAAAATTCTCCAATATTCAAGTGACGTTTAGTTGTGATGTACACCTTCACAGTCACATACCAGTGAGAATTGAGTGGGTGGTAAGAGACTCACAGTCAAAAACAGAGTGTTGCACCCATAACACCACACTTTCCAACAGTATGGAGTTGTGGATGAGGGAGTGGTATATCCAGGAGATGTGGAGGTGGTTCTGAAACTGAACAATGGACCCGTCATCTGCTCTGATGTGACAGTTGCTGACACCAGCTGTACTGTGACACTCCCCAGAGACATCTACAACATCTCTATCACCCAGTCCAATGACATTGGCTCTACTGTAGACATGGCAACTTTTGATAGTGAGTATGTTCTATAAGTTACATCTGTATCAACCAATTATATCTCCATAGTGGCAGTACTAGTTGTATCAGAGCAATTTTCCTTGATGCTAAACACTCAATTGTTGTTTGTTGTCACCGTGAGAAGAAACAGACTGTGTCCAGAGACTAAGTCTCCAGTTCTGGTAACATTCGGAACCAGAGCACTGACTGGAGGAGAGTGTGAGATCCGGCAGAAAGCAACCGAAATGACTATCTCTTCTGGAGACTCTGCCTCCTTCTATGTAGATGCTGTGTCTATGTCCTTGGGCCCCGATGAGACTATCTGCTTTATAGTCAGCCTTGATGGACTACCTGGTATATACGTTGCCCAGAAAATGTGTTGTGATTCACAAAGCTTCTTTCCCACAGTGATATCTGGCACTAGTTCAAGGAATGCCTCCACAGCCATCACTACTAGTTGTAGTAGCAATGAAAAATGGCCTCTCAGTTGATGCTGGTGCAGGTATTTCAGTAACCCTCACTCTACTGGTGGTCCTGCCATTGGGTGTGCTGCTGGGCTACTGTCGAAAGTGGTCTCTTGCAAAGTGTCGAAGCTACACATTAGCTACTGGTGACGGAAAGAAAGAGACACGGACAACTTCAGTGGTGTACGAAGAGCCTGCAGCACCTGTTTTTTCTCTGACTCAGAACCGAGCATATGGACAGGTTGCACCTTCTCAGAGGACAAGCTAAATTCAACAATGGTTTATTGTTGCATTTTCAGCAGAGCAGTGTGAAACATACAGGTTTGCTTTCATTGTTTATACTGTACAACTGTTAGAGTGATTGACTTGTAATTAATACAGGGTTGTATACTGCAGATCATGGCTTGTTTTTACACCTTAATTTTCATTTGTGCAATGCTTACTGTTTACAACAAGTATACCCAAACAAAAGTTTATTCTGTGTGTATCCTGCTGTAGGCGTGGCTCCCCGAAGGGTAAGTACAGCGAAATGTAGGCTCTGGGCATATATATAATATATGCCCGTGGCTTGCTAAGGGTTAAATTGAATAAACATGACATTGTGCTTAATATAATTATAGTACACACATGCACTATGAACCGTTCTACTCTGTTCATGTACACCTGAAGAAGCGTATGAGCTTCTTTGTAACATGGATAGCTAGATAACGACCCGTGAGTTATTGCTTGTGTGTTTTGAAGGCTAGCTGTGTTTTCTGCCGAGTTTGGAGGCTTTTTGTATGTGGATCACGTGAGATTTTTGACCCGTGCCATATATAGAAAGTCTATAATTATACCGACGCTCTAATGTGGTTCAACTGGAAAAAAGCATAATTGGTGCCTGATTTGGCTGTAATATGTACCTTTGCCATTGCACGGATTCTGCTATATAGTCATCATTGATTATTTCACAAAATATTTATGACACGGCAAGTATACCTATTAACTGGAAACATAAGTGGTTGTACAAGTGTATGGCTACTAGTGATCGTAGGATATGCATTCATCACTATATGTCTAACTCTCACAAATGTCACGAATCCTCCGTACCCAATCCAATATACTAGAGGAATGGAAAATGTACAATTAGCATTGCTATGCTCTCCTTTTTCTGCAACAGTGCTTCAACATAGGCAATGAAAGATAAAACTGCTCCTGCAAAGCACAAGCCAACTGAGAGGATGAGGATTGTGTCCACCGTGTTGTAAACTTTAGACTTGTACGGCTGTACCACTACCACCAGCATCCCTGTGAGAATGCACACAAATGCAGTCCACCCTAGTACAACTGTGTTTTTGGCAATCAAAAAGCAACTCGCCAGGAGAAGCAAAACAAAGTGGTAAACAACTGAAAAGTAGCGGCGGTTTCTTGTCCTGTTTGTCCCGTCTTTATAACAAGCCATGATGTTGTCCATGAAGGGGTACAGAAGTTGTAGAAGAGACCTAGGGATTATGTTGAGAAGTATCTGGGCTCTTGGAAAGGAGTAGACTAGCAGCAAAAACAGAGGTAAAATAGTCCCCAATACTGCCCCAACTATAGCCATAACAAAGTAAACAATGTGTTCTTTAGAAACTCTGTACTTCCTTGAAAGTACAAATGCAGTGCTGTTGTGCTGCTGCCAAACCTTAGTGGAGGCTAACATGTCAACTGTTGTGCTTAGAAACTTAACGAATGACAAACTGAAGAAGGTCCCAAAGGCATCTACCAGTGAAGTTCGGATGTCTAGTCGATGTCTGAAGTGAACACAGGAGTGATGGAGCAGTCGTCCCAACAGAACCATGGGCAAAAGGTTGCGACTGTACAACTCCACCATTGCATACATCACAACTATCAGTACCAGAGGATATGCAGCTATGATGTAATCCAACGACAGTACTTGTAATGTTGTTAAACTTGGGCGCAAACAAAGTGACTTGTAGACCGAGCGAAAGAAATCCAAATTCCACACTCCGTACACTGACCCAAATATCTGTATATTCCAATATCTGGCTGAAGTTCTTCAGCTGCAATCAAAGTGCGCATAATAAGATTACTTGACAAGATTTGACAGACCGTTCATGTGGTTAAATTTTATCATAACCAAACTCTCTTCTATTAGCCTCTTCTGCTCCATGGGACTGAACACTGTAAAAAAAGACAGAGAAGATGGATTTTTTAGAAAGGAGAGCCGTGATAGTCTAGAGGTTAGGACATTGCATTGTAGCCTCAATAACCAAGGGTGGTCACGGCAGCTTTTTACCTCTATACTTTCACCCACCTTTTATTCACTAATGGATTCCCTTTGAAGTTTGTGCTTATCTCAATGTGTTTACCTTTTAATGTTTTGACTGCTACAGTCCGCTCATGATTTCCTTGCCAACCGTTCAGAGTAGCCTTGTAGACAACACCAAATTCCCCTAAAATATATTCCTGTAGAATCGTAGCAGAAGCAACAAGAGTCATAACCTTTTCCAACTGTACCACTGAGGTTGATCTTGTGTTTTGGAATGAGCAAACCTTCCTCCGTCAACTGGTGAAGGTAGGTTGTTGACAGATTTACATCAGGACGAGGTAGGTGCATGGGACCTACAAAGTAGTGTGAGCTGCTGTCCACTCCCACATAATATGAATAATACTTGTTTGTTCAGTCGTGTTATCAGGGCGATTTGGTCCTTTGTTCTGTGGTGTGTTGCCGTCGAAGGATTTCAAGCTGGACCTGATTTGGAATTTGGGCATCGAATCATGTTGTCAAAATAATAATACTTATTACCTAGTTTCCTCTTTTCTTTTCATTTTTAGGGCAGAGACTATTGTGGTTATGATTGCAAGAGTTATGATTATTGCTGCTGCTGGAATGGCAGAAAAAAGTGCACCGTTTCTCTCAAGAGCACTGGTGGTATTAGCTGTTGGAATCACTGTAGAGTAAGAAATCCAAAACACACAGCAACTTCAAAGAGGGCAATAACACTTTGTCAATATGCATTATAGCGAACCTTCATATTCCAAGCGGGTACAATTGTATGGGAGTGGACTCAAGGGTTTTCCAGGGTCTTCACAGGCAATAACGTCAATCTCCTCCTGAGTAGCTAAGGTGTTCTGTTGAAACACAGCAATCGCCATCTCCCAATCTTCCCCACACGTCTCCTGCAATATTTGACATGTCTCCCTACAAACTGACGTAGGTAGTTCAAATACGGAAGAGTTTCCACATGGAGGGAGGTAGTAATGGCAGATTGCTTGTTTTGCAAAATCACTGCATTTTTCTAGGCTACCGAGAACTAGAGAACCAAAGTTGACAATGTATTTCATAAGTTTGGAATATTGGCCGTGGATTCTGGTATTAGGAACATATATGTAATCAACTCCAGGAGTGTAGAATTCGTCACAGATAGATTCTGTTTCATGTTTCCGAAATGGCACACAGTGTCCATACCTGCATTTGTTTTTGTGCAGCAGACATGTACATGGAAATAAATATACAGTATATACCTCTGAAGGCAGGTTCTTGAGACTGGATAAGTGAGAGTTGGCTCACCAGATGACGAGTGATTAAACACACATTCACTTTCATCTATTGTACAATAAGAGATACATGTGCCTGAGATAATTTCAGGTGCTGATTTATTCTTAAGTCTTCAAAAGGGAGTGCCAAGGGTCTGTGACACTATTTATCACATGTAAATGTAATAATGTGGGGGAAACTTTAGTAATAACGGAGCTGAGAACCAACCTTACAGTGATTAGACACAACCCAAACAAACAACGCCATGGAGCTTGTGTCACTAAGCCTCAGCGCGCATGCACAGCGAGGGTTATTATTATGGTACTTGGTTTGTTAGTTTGTGTGTGTGTCTGTCTGTTACCACGTTTTATGCCACCGCGCACAAAAAGACAACAAAATAGGGGGTCGCAGTTGCCAGCAGGGGTGGGGGTGTAGGACACGATCACGTGTGCTGAATCAGCACTCCCGAATGTAAGGACTTTCTCGTTCACCAGTCTTCTAGGAATTTTCGGAAATCTAGGCTGTGGCTGAAGTTTTTCAGTTGACAGAGTGAAGGAGGTACCTTAGGAGATGACATATCTTGGTGTGGAACCACAACCCGTTATTTTTCCTAGCAGCTTATGAACGGGAGTGCCTAAGCTTTGCGACTTTTCTTTCAGCAAAGCGTTTAGCATCTGGCCTTGACTTTCTACTACCATTTGACTCAATCCAAGGTATGTCAGGCTATTCAAATGTTCCAATATACTGCACACACACAGCAAGCTATGAGCAGTAGACGGTGGATAGCATTACCCAAGCCACACACTGAATTGTTAGTAGCCTAGCTACTTCACAGATGCCTTTCTAAAATTCCGTGAAAAAAATCCGCTAAGGACTTGTACTTTGTGTCGATCATACCGTTTATACAATGGTTTCTTGCGTTGGAGCGGTTTTTGATAGTCTTGTTCTCTTGAGACTTGGTAACGGCGTTCTGTAGGGATGTAGGCACGAGGGTGAGCACCAGCCCATGTCCTCAGACTTCCTCTCTCTCGTAGTACACCATATTTCCTACTATGCATACTTCCAATACAACACTTAAATACGAGACTATGGCATGTATGGAACACGCATTATTGTCATGCGGTTCTTACGTAACTACGCAAGCTTGTCCTACCCCCTCTTGAGTCGTCAGTGCCTTCCTACTATAGTAAGTAAAAACATTTCGGAGAAAAGTTTTAGCTAACCTGCGTTTTAGCTGTCGGTTTGCACAGTCAGGCAGTATGTTTGTAAGGGTCTGTGTATCTAGCTGTATGCGTATGGCTATATATACCAGCATCGCCGGTTCACAAGACGCAGCGTGTGCATGCCAGTATTTGGGCCTCCCATTGTTTGTGGCCGCTTGCACGTAAGCAACGTTACCTATTTGTAGTCTGATTACTAAAGCGTGCCCATGAAACCATAACTGTGTCTAATTATGCAAAACCTAATTAACCCTTGTACGACACTTACACTAACAGGAGTAAATGTAATCTGTGCCTCTGCTTCAGGCGTCAACAGCCCATTATCTATGGCCTGTGTACTGTGCAATAATACTACTGTGTTAGTTTGTACTGTGTTTAGTGTCACTGCCACCCACATGTACCACCAACCACATGTAAGTGCTAGCCTCACTTTGTCATGCAGTTACTCATGGTCAACCTTTTCAAGCAGTGTCATCAATAGATGAAATAATGGAAACAAGTGGAAAGTGGGATATAGGGATGGCTTGCAGCACCAAAAAGGGAAATTACACAGCAAAGACATACAAAACTACACGACACCATCCCTATATCTTTGTAATGACCCCTTGTTTCTTCCTTTCAAGCCATTCCCTTCATTTTGAAGAAATGATTTTTGCTCTTGTTCATAGATACCTTGAGCACAAATGATGCCAACATCTTCAGTGTGATCACAATTATGTACCCCAATGCTCGTACTACTGCACATTTCCAGCCTCTGTTCATTTCCATTGCACACCATATTGTCTAGGGCAATTCTCCCATTGCCTCCGCCAAAACTTGAGAGAAATGATGCGTCTAAATCGAAGGAAAATAGAACAAACACTTTAGGTGGCTGTCAAAATGAGGCATGATGCAGGGGGAACACTGTATATAGTTGGGTATCGCATACTTGAAGTTGGGAGTCCCAGTTGCCTGCACACTACGACCGCTGCTTCGTTATTCCAGTCATCGTCGCACACTGTACCCCATTCCGCCTCGTTGCAGAACTCCACCCGTCCACTTCTGCTGTCAAATCCGTCTACCAAACGTACATCTCCGTCCTCGCAGGCGTACGGTCGTCCTACAGAAAAGCAAGATGGGCTTCGTGCGCGCTGGCGACGACGCGCCACAATCTATTGTTTCCGCAAGAAAAGCTGATATTCTGACCTGACAAGAGGCTTGGTAGAATAAGTCGGAAAGAACAAATCTTGCGCATAACCACTGGTAGCTAAAAGTGCGACAATAGTCTGGCCAACGAAGATGTAAGCGCGTAAGTGCTAAGTGTGTGCTGGCACGCACACCAGCGGAAATGAGAGAAGCCCTGTATCAAAGTAAGCTAGCGAACTTCTATAAACGGACCAACACATGCGTTTCACCGCAGTTCATGCGGAGGTTTAAGAAGCGGAGACGCTAAAAGGGTCCGCTGTGCGAAAATGAAGTCGTGCAAACTCTTGATATTTGTCACTGGAGCATTGCTCAATCTAAAAGGAGGTAAATGTCAATTTTTTTGCTAGTTAGGGGTTTACGTGTGGGGATACTGAGTGAGCTATCTGTTGGACATTGTCAGAGTAAAGAACGCAGAAGAAAGCCAAGTCCATGTTTCACGGTGTAGGTAGGTAGCTGATTGCTATATCTTCCAGAAAACCAGCTGTGAGCTCATTGTCGGTTGTGGAAAGAAGTGTCAAAGAAAACTGTTAGTCCATTTGTCTTCTATAGGGTTGGACATGTTAATTATTTAAAGTTGCGTCCATGGAAAGCTTAACATATTCCACTTTAGATGTTCTTGGCTGCACAACTGGAGATGTCAGACTGTCTGGAACGGACAAGAACTATACAGGAAGAGTGGAGTACTGTTATGAGGGAGAGTGGGGGGCAGTTTGCGATGACTCTTGGGATGATGAGGACGCTACAGTAGTGTGCAGACAGCTGGGCCTCCCCACAAAAAGTGACTTTGGTGATATTCAACAGGAGTATATAAAATTCAGTTCCAATACTTCTGTGGTGTTCTTTGAAAGAGGCAAAACTAGCCGTAGCCGTAAAGTTTACTGTTATGTAAGGCTTTGACTTCTTTTCTGCTCGACTCTCTTTGCCAACAGTTGTGAAAGCACTGCAAGGGTTTGGAGGTGGGTCGGGAGAGGTGTGGATCGACAATGTCAGCTGTCGTGGCAGCGAACAGAGGCTGAATGACTGCACAAACACTGGAGTTGGAAACCACAACTGTGACAGTAACCACCATGAAGATGCAGGAGTCATATGCATTTCAGGTGTACTTTATATTCTCTACATACTGCATGTTCTTGACTTCTGAGCACTCTCCTTTACTAAACAGCATGGTCTCCATACAGATGAAGAGGTTATATGTGATTTCGAGCAGGCTATGCCACTGGAAAACCCTCCAGAATGTAGTGAGAAAAACACTCATTCTGGACCATCAGAAGCATGCATACACAGGTAATTCAAACAAAATGTCAATGGAGGGTTGCTATTAGCTAATCTTCAATAGGTATGGAGTACGTGTTCCATTCTATCCAATAAGTTCTCCCACGCCATGCGATGATCTTTACGAACCGGGTGTCGACTACATCTATGTACCACTAAGCAGGAGCAGAGGAATCTACTCAAAATTAATGAAAGAGATAGCCATGTTTGGCCATTTCCTACTGGAGGACCTAGTGGAGTGCTCTGAGTTAGCAAGACGTGTCATCTGCCGCTATTACTTCCCTCCCAGTGGAAACGTCACTCACTTCCAGCCTCCAGTTAGTGTCTGTCCAGAACAGTGTAGGCTCATTGAACAACTCTGCCCCGAGGGATGGGCATCAGTAGTGAAAAAGTTTGGGGATAACAATGCAATTATTTCTTCTGTGGGTCTCCAGTTTATAGAGTGTGACTTCCCAGGGAGGCATTTGTCTCCTTTGCCACACTGCTGCTCTGATCTTGGTCTGAACGCATGTAAGTGTTTCTAATTTACTCTTTGGTGTATGTATATAATATAGCTACCTCTTCTGTATCCAGTATAATATGAAAAACGGGGTTTGGAAATAGATTAGAGATGCTTGTTCGATTCTTATGCCCTGACTTACTGGAAATATTAGCTTTGTTTTTCCTCTTTCTTGCCTGCAAGCTCTATTATTGAACAATGAAGATGAGGAGACCAGTGCTAATATTCCAATACTGAGTCCATTGTACCTTGGCACCAGTGCAGCGGCACTTGTTGTTTTGACTGCACTTGTGGCTGCTCCCATTATACTCTGCTCTCTATGGAAGTGGTGTCAGAGAACCAAGAGGATTGTCATATCAAAGCCACAGTCCTATCACGGAAGGTTAGCATATGGTTTGAAGAGTGAATGAAAAGCACATGAAAGCCTCGCCTTGGAGGTTCAAGTCTCAGAGAAGATCACAGACTGTTATTTCAGCTGCATGAATACTTGCCAAACTATCAATACAGGCAGACCAGCAAATATTCTCCACGCGCGCAAAGCATCTAGCAAGTACAGCGATAACCCGTGAGATGCACATTCACCTCAGCAGCCATCCATTTCACCAGCCTTCTCTGCTCCAGAATCTTAGTTTACCATGCATGCCTCCTACTTGATAATATGTCCACGTTTCACGCTCAGAGTTGCCGCGTACCGAGAAAAGCGGTGGACAGACGGACACACACACACACCACACGAGTAAAAAATCCCCTTTGCCATCCTTATCAGTAGACAAAAGCCACTCAATCCCTAGCACTTTCCTTTCTTTTTCTTCCATACACAAGCACAAACACACACACACAGACCAACTGCAATGCCCCTCGCTGCGCATGCCCGCAGGCGAGGGTTAATAATGCTGTACCCTTTCCTGTGGACAGCAATTGTAACCACACTAGTCTTTGTCTTAAAGACGAACAACAAATCCCATTTCCCTGGAAACTACGTAGGTAGTTTAATTATTATTATTTTGGCTACATGATTTGATGTCCCAATGGGTCCAGCTTAGAATCCTTGGAAGACAGCACACAGAACGTTAATAGAGGACCAAATCGCTATGATAACACGACTGAACAAACAAGTATGGTATTACTCATAATAATTATGTGGGAGTGGACAGCAGCTCAGACTAATTTGTAGGTCCCATGCATCTACCTCGCCCTGATGTAAATCTGTCGAGAGTTCCATCAACTTACATTCGCCAGTTGACGTTGGAAGGTTTGCTCATTCCAAAACACACGATCAACCTCAGTGGTACAGTTGGACAAGGTTAGGACTCTTCCTTCTGCTACGTTTTTACCAAAAATGAAAATATAATTTTAAGGGGAATTTGGTGTCGTCTACAAGGCTACTCTGAACGGTTGGCGAGGAAATTATGAGCAGACTGTGGCAGCCAAAACATTAAAAGGTATATGCATTTTGTGAAGATTAAGCACAACTTCAAGGGAATCCATTAGTGAATAAAAGGTGGGTGAAAGTTTAGAGAGGTGAAAAGCTGCCGTGACCATTGCGGCCACAACGCAATGTCCTAACCTCTAGATGATCACCGCTCTCCTTTCTAAAAAATTCATTTTCTCTCTCCTTTTTTAGTGTTCAGTCCCATGGAGCAGAGGAGGCTAATAGAAGAGAGTTTGGTTATGATAAAATTTAACCACATGAACGTGATGAAACTGATTGGAGTCTCACCACACAACTGGCCTTCTGTCTACATTGTGATGCCTTACATGATTTATGGCAGCCTACTCTCCTACCTCAGAAAGAACAGGGCTGACTTTACCATTTTCAACACTAATGATGATGTTGACCTTGTAAGAGTGTGATTGTTAAATATTAAATAATTCTACAGTGCAGTCTTCACAATTCTCAAATTTCCAACCAAACAATTGTGGTATCTTTCACAGGTGAATGAGGTGGGTAAAAAGCTTTGGTCAATGTGTCTGCAGATATGTCGTGGAATGGAATATCTTGCATCACTTGAGTTTGTTCATCGAGATCTTGCTGCCAGGAATTGCATGTGAGTAAACCTCGCACCTTTGCCAGGGGAAATTGAAAGGCATCAAAATTATGACAATACTTCAAGGGATTTCCATAATCGTTCCAACCATAATTATGTCTTTATGTAGGATTGATGAACACTTTGTCATCAAAGTGTCTGACTTTGGCCTAACTGAGGACATTTACTCCAGAAACTACTTCAGACAATTGTCAACACGAGAGGAGGATGGAGAGACTCCAGTGAAGCTGCCAGTGAGATGGATGGCTCTGGAGAGTCTCAAACGATGGAGTCTTCTCTGAGAAAACTGATGTGGTGAGAACACCTACCGTTCTGAGGTGCAGTAGCAAATACCTTCTGTGAACATTCGCAGCTGAGGTTATGGTTCGGTTCTGTCGTATGTGACGGTCTGCCTAGGTTATGAGAACAAGGTGGCAATAACATTTTAAAATGAGCACTGGGTTAGCTGTTGTTGTCAGCTAAAAGACCGTGGATGCACCGAAGTACACACAAAGGGAGTATACTGTCTCCTGCATTTGCAGCTAGCCAATGAGATTGTGACAGACAGGCAACCCACCATGCATTAGTGTGGCATTAGCAGTACTTCTGTGCATTCACAAAATGTGTACATTTATGCCCCATAGTTTAGCATTTCAAATGCCTTTTTCCACAGTGGTCATTTGGAGTTACATGTTGGGAGGTGTTCACATTGGGAAAGACACCTTTATCCTGGAATGGACCCACACTCTATTGTACACTACCTGGAAAGAGGAGAGAGACTCGAAAAACCTAATAACACAGCCTGCTCTGAGCATATGTAAGTATGATTCATCATAATGCACATTTTATCTAGATTGATACAACTTTTGACAAAATGTGTTTTATAACCAGTCTGAAACAATTTTATGTGCACACTTTTTTTTATAGCTATGCTATAGTACAAGAATGCTGGAAAGCTGCACCTGACAAGCGGCCAACTTTCTCTGAGCTGGCAAAAAGTATTTGTGAAAGTCTAGAGGTCATGGGTGGCTACCTGGATCTGACCACACCTTTTTTGTCTACTGCAGTCGTGTCCTCTACTGAAAACATTCCCACACATATTCCACCTAGCATTGAAACTGTTACTATTCCCAGTGTGTAGTCATTTTATGTTTCTTGGATGTCTCCCAAGAATAAACACAGTCCCAGAGATAATTCTGCTTTTTTCATTACTTTAAAAACCACCAACAGTTGAAAGTTCTAGCAGAAACTATAGGAAAAAGGATTAGCTATTTCCAACATGAGAAAGTATAAACAAGTACTTTTACTCTCCCTGATTTTGACAAGTGTTGATGAAGCTGCCCTCAAAAAGATTGATTTGTCACCTAGTAAGAACCCAATTGTCATTACAGATGGTTATTCAAGTGGAAATGCGAGCTTTTGCCATTTTGGGATGTGCTCTGGAACAATGCCATCATCATTCCGAATGAGAAGTGTACCTCTTTAGAGTTCTCTGGTGCTACTCACATACCAGATGCAGCAGTGTGCATCATCTGGTTCATGTTCTTTGGTGATTGGACAGTGTCCTTACAGCTGTATTGATATCATCAATGTCAAGCTGAAGACAGTGTACAATCATGTCAGACTTCCCATGCAAAATCGGCAATGTTCACCTTTCAATCGTGAAGGTGTTCTGTGTGGCAAATGCAAAGAAGGTTATGGAGTTCCGGCCTATTCTTTCAGCTTCAAATGTACCAAATGTGGCAATGAATCTCTCTGGACTACTATTCCACGGTATATTCTTGTGGCTTATGGTCCACTGACAGTTTTCCGCGCTGTGATTGTGGTTTTTACAATTAGTATTAACTCTGCTGCATGGCTGGATATTGGTCTGTCAAATCTTGTCGAGTAATCTTATTATGCGCACTTTGATAGCAGCTGAAGAACTTCAGCCAGATATTGGTATATCTCCTTTTAATACAGATATTTGGGTCAGTGTACGGAGTGTGGAATTAGGATTTCTTCCGCTCGGTCTACAAGTCACTTTGTTTGCACCCAAGTTTAACAAACATTACAAGTGCTGTCGTTGGATTACATCATAGCTGCATACCCTCTGGTAGTGATAGTTGTGATGTATGCAATGGTGGAGTTGTACAGTCGCAACTTTTTGCCCATGGCTCTGTTGGGACGACTGCTCCATCACTGCTGTGTTCGCTTCAGACATCGACTAGACATCCGAACTTCACTGGTAGATGCCTTTGGGACATTCTTCAGTTTGTCATTCGTTAAGTTTCTAAGCACAACAGTTGACATGTTAGCCTCCACTAAGGTTTGGGACAGTAACAGCAGCACAACAGCACCACATTTGTACTTTCAAGGAAGTACAGAGCCAGTTTCTAAAGAACACATTGTTTACTTTGTTATGGCTATAGTTGGGGCAGTATTGGGGGCTATTTTACCTCTGTTTTTGCTGCTAGTCTACTCCTTTCCAAGAGCCCAGATACTAATCCCTAGGTCTCTTCTACAACTTAGGTAGACTTTCTATAATAGGGATGGCACGGGTCAAATCTCATGTGATGCACGTACAAAAAGCCTCCAAACTTGGCAGAAAACACATAGCTAGCCTTCAAAACACACAAGCAACAACTCACAGGTCCTTATCTAGCTATCCATGTTCCAAAGTAGCTCATACGCTTCTTCAGGTGCATATGAACAGAGTAGAACGGTTCATAGTGCATGTGTGTATAATAATTATATTAAGCACAATGTCATGTTAGATTCAATTTAACCCTTAGCAAGCCACGGGCATATATTATATATGCCCAGAGCCTGCATTTCACTGTACTTACCCTTCAGGGAGCCACGCCTACCGCAAGATACGCACAGAATAAACTTTTGTTTGGGTATACTTGTAAATGAAAATTAAAGTGTAAAAACAAGCCATGATCTGTAGTATACAACCCTGAATTATAGCTATTAATTACAAGTCAATCAGTCTAACAGTTGTACAGTATAAACAATGAAAGCAAACCTGTATGTTTCACACTGCTGTGCTGAAAATGCAGCAATAAACCATTGTTGAATTTAGCTTGTCCTCTGAGAAGGTGCAACCTGTCCATATGCTCGGTTCTGAGTCAGAGAAAAAACAGGTGCTGCAGGCTCTTCGTACACCACTGAAGTTGTCCGTGTCTCTTTCTTTCCGTCACCAGTAGCTGATGTGTAGGTTCGAGACTTTGCGAGAGACCACTTTCCACAGTAGCCCAGCAGCACACCCAATGGCAGGACCACCAGTAGAGTGAGGGTTACTGAAATACCAGCACCAGCATCAACTGAGAGGCCATTTTCATTGCTACTACAACTAGTAGTGATGGCTGTAGAGGCATTCCTTGAACTAGTGCCAGATATCACTGGGAAAGAAGTTTTGTTAGTCACAACACATTTTCTGGGCAACGTATATACCAGGTAGTCCATCAAGGCTGACTATAAAGCAGATAGTCTCATCGGGGCCCAAGGACATAGACGCAGCATCCACATAGAAGGAGGCAGAGTCTCCAGAAGAGATAGTCATTTCGGTTGCTTTCTGCTGGATCTCACACTCTCCTCCAGTCACTGCTCTGGTTCCGAATGTTACCAGAACAGGAGACTTAGTCTCTGGACACAGTCTGTTTCTTCTCACAGTGACAACAAACAACAATTGAGTGTTTAGCATCAAGGAAAATTGCTCTGATACAACTAGCACTGCCACTAAGGGGATATAATTGGTTGATAAAGATGTAACTAATAGAGCACACTTACTATCAAAACTTTCACTGTCCACAGTAGAGCCAATGTCATTGGACTGGGTGATAGAGATGTTGTACACATCTCTGGGGAGTGTCACAGTACAGCTGGTGTCAGCAACTGCAGAGCAGATGATTGGTCCATTGTTCAGCTCCAGCACCGACTCCAAATCTCCTGGATACACCACTCCCTCATCGACAACTCCATACTGTTGGGTAAGGGTGCAACACTCTGTTTTTGACTGTGAGTCTCTTACCATCCACTCAATTCTCACTGGTATGGGACTCTGAAGGTGTACATCACAACTAAACTCCACATGAATTTTGGTGATCTTTGGCGGAACTGAAACATCATTATGGAGTATTCACAGTTGCACTAAATTACAGATAGCGCAGCAATGTGACCCTTAAAACCTTTTTGAAACTTTTTTTTGTGCATACTAAGTACGAGCAATAATACTATAATACCACTGCCAGAATAAATCAGTTTGTTATAAAAAGAGAACAACACTACTCATTATTTCACTATCTTCTTGTATAGCTTGGATCAATCTTCAATTGTAGCTAGCTCGGTATGGTCAACAGTCGTATCGATTTCTTGGGAGGTGTCACAAGTGTCTTGGTAGACATTGGTTGCTTCAAATGAGGGGGTGTCTTGGCCGAAGTCTTGAGGCTCGTTGGGGGGAGCGGGGTTTGCGGGAGCAGTAAAATTATTTTGCATAGGACAACTGCTCTTGAGCCTGAGGAGAAGGTGAGGAGTAAAATGTATAGCATTATTACGTAACATGCACATGGCTTGCATACTAAAGCATAGTGGTAAAGACTCAGGCAAGTACCAAAATATATTATTATACCTAAAGAGCATTCCCAAGACAAAACAATGCTTTAGACTGGCACAGATAATGATGCTGGTTGTCGGGATAGTGCACTGCATGAAAGCACCAAGCCGCATGTACTGAGTTCAGGAAATGGTGTTCTTCAGTGCCTGCTGAATAGCTTGACAATCACATACAGCGATAAACGATGGTTTAGTGACCTCCATCCAATCAGCCAATTCCAGCAAAAAAAGGATAGCAAGTACTTGAACAAAAGGAGGATTATTATGAAGGACAAAATCATGAAATTGTGTATGGGAAAATGCTCTTGCGTGTAGAACTGAACACACATATTATGATGAGCCTATAAGGCAGAGAATTAGGCCTGTGAGTTTTTCCAGGTGTGCTTGGAATGCTTAGCAAGATGTTGTTGCACACAAGTATATCCCTATTATTAGATGCTGTAATACCTGGTGTCCCAGATCAATATCTGCATTCTCAGTCCCATCAAAACAGGGTGTTGATTTAAAAATAGAGCTGCTTCTGCGACAGTACACCATCACAAAGATCAAGAGAAGAAGGGCTCCAATACCAACCACACAACTAATTACAACTCCAATCACACCACCAGTCGAAAGGCCATCGCCACTTCCACCATTATCTGAAATAATGTTATATAGCAGGTTTGGGTGTGACTTAGTAACAAACTCTCACCATCTTGTTCACAGTAATTGATATGGTAGCAGTATCTTTCATCAGATGCTCGAGCAATGGAGCCAGTATCCACTGAGAAGGTAGCATTGTTTCCAGCAGAGAGAAGCTCTTCACTAGTGGTATTTGCCTGGATATCACAACTACCACCGCTGACTGGTTGTGTTCCAAACATTACTATGGCAGGGCATGTTATCTTACAATAAATATTTACTGTCACAGTCACACTCAATGGCTTTTCATCTCCTAACATTGCTTCCACAATAAGTCTTCGTGCTGTAGAAAAGCAATTGCAATAAAGTAGTAATTACTTCATGGGTAGCTGCAATCCCACCACGGGATATTGTTTACACTCACTATCAAACAGATTGCTGTCCACTGAAGAGCCAACATCATTGGACTGAGTGACAGTAACATTATAGATGCCTCTGGGAAGTGTTACAGTACAACTGGTATCAGCTGCAGTCACTTCAGAGCAGGGATCACTCTCAGTTACATTACTAGCCACTTCATCTGTGCGAGTCAGTTTCACACTGAGTTCTACATCAGGATACACAACTCCTTCTTCCCTTTGTCCATTCTATGAAATGTGATATTATTGGCGTGAATAATGTTCCTATGAATAATGACAAAATAACATTCTCACCATCCATATAATCGTCCATGGCGATGAATCAGCTTCACAATTTAGCGCAACACTTAAGTTTGAGAGCGGTAGCGGTGCTATAAACAGAGTATTAATCCGTCTACTACGAAACAACTTTTAAAATATTTCTACGCAGGTGTAGGTATTATATAAAATTTACAAATTGTTTAAGGTCACATTGCAGCACTTACACAAACATAATGAATAACACATTTACACAAGTCAAAACACGTGCATCACCCCAATGACAAACTATACTGACAACAGAAAGAGCTGTATGTCACTTTGGGCCTTTGAAAATTGCAAGGGAGAAACTTCAATAAAACTATATATACCCACAAGTCCATAGCAATGCAATCACCTGCAGCAGGTATGTTTATAGCTGCCTGCTGACTTTCCAGACCACATGTATTGATAGCTAGGACCTGAACCTCTCCATAGACAAGACCAGGAGAATACTTCACGTCCTCGCTGGTGTCTTCCACCGTCACTGTGCCACCACTGGTACTGACTCTGTAGTTGACTACAGCCACTCCCCCAGTATAGGAAGGTCTGGTCCACTGCAGATCCACTGATCTCTCTATCACTACTCCATCGTTGTATCCCAGATCATTGGGAGGGTCTGGAATACCTACAGGTGGTAAAAGAAGGATAGAACCAATGTGGGGTCACACAATAAATAATTGTGTGGATGTTGCATTTAGGATGAGAGCAATCTACATGCATGGGCAGCCATGTTGTTCTGTCTACCACTGCTCTTATGTGCATTAGCACAACAACAATGCATATTCACTATCAAAAACTGTTATTCAAATATCTACCTCGTAAGTAAAATAGCTTATTCAAATGTTTATTCCTCTGAAAGAACCACCAACATTATTAATTGGCACTATTACGTGAGTTTTACTGCCTGGTATATATAGAGCTAAGAAGGTACAGCACTCTGCCAAGACTGCAAGGTGCCGTGGTTCAAGCAGGGAAGCACTTTTAAACCTGTGTCCTGCACGACCTTGTTGTTCATATTCATATTACGTACATCACCAGAAGGATTGGCATGATTTTGTAAGCATTAAAACCCAGGCGTTTTGCATAGGAGGGGAGCTTGGGTTGGACAAACAGTCACAACACCCTTCTCACTACGCCCGAGCTATAGAGGATGCTCACGCTAAGTGTTAGACATAATGGCAAGCGGGTCCAACCCTTGGTATGTTGCTATGCTCGGTCCAATCCCAGTTTATGGCAGTCACGATAGGGCTCAGGTAAGTTAGAGTACAGAATGAATCATCGGCCTCACCACTCTGTTTTATTGTGGTGCTCTTGTCCACAGGATCTGCTCCACCACCTCCAGTACACGTCAGAGTTGTTTGATTCACAGGCTCCCGAATCAGCAGAGTTGAGGCGAAGAAGAACCTCTCAGTGTCTGGATCATTATCCTCTCTCTTCCCAGTCAGAGTGGCACTGTATACATTGTCAGACGAGGAACGAACATCTCCGACACTCCTCAGGACTCCAAACTCCAGCATTTGTCCAGTATGTAGACCCCATATTAGTGTGGTAGTTGGTACCAGTATTTCACACTGGAACTCTATCATCTGCTGTGGACATGGCAACTGCTGGGGGTCCGGTTTAGTCCTCTCCAGAGAAATCTCCTGTGCAGCTATAATGTAAATGAGAGAGCACAATTAGGTTTTTTGTACTCCTTCGTATTTATAGTCATACATGACACTATAACCACTCCTGTACGCTGTATAGGAATTGGGCTAACGTGAAGGGGTAAGAGGACGCGTGAACTGCGCATTGTGCGAGTGTGGAGACGTCACATTGCGCCTCGCTGAAACTCTGTAGGTATGTAAGGCTCACTGCATAAAGTTACGGTAACCACTGCCTACTGTAGCATAGTCATTATACGGTAAGCGAGAACATTTTTTACCTGAAATCAGACAGGCTGCCGCTATCAAGAACACCTCCTTCACGGGTGAAGATAGCGTCAACAAAAAATGAGCAATCTGTAGAAAGCGCGACAGTAATACACACAATACCATCCCGAGCTTACGAAAAAAGGCTTCATCTTGGTTAGTTCACGAAATAAAGGGGGAGGGTATACGAATATGCGCGTCGCTCTGCTATAAGCGCGCACGTTACGCAACTATCGGCAAAGCAACAGGGAGAGCGCGCGCGCGTCGCGCGGGGTCCGCGCGCACGTGCGTGACTAGACTCCAAGGGGCACCTTTCTTTGGTGAATCATACTGACAACAATCGTAGAAACGCGGAGTAATGGCCACGCTGATATGGAGGAACGCTGATGCACTCTGTACGCACTCCCGCACCATGAATTAATATTGCTGTCGAATAACGGCGTTCCATACGGTGCTTCTAGGAAAAATCGCCGACGCTGCGGTACAGAACGTGAATTCCATCACAGCCGTGAGCGAGCATCAGCCGCTATTGTAATAGTTGCGCGCATGCGTTCCTAGCCCATGATGCCGCAATGTACTGCCGGTTTGACTCGTCGAAAGCATTATCCCTCTCTTGTACAGTTTTGGATTGCACGTCACTTTGCATGCGCGGTCGGGCCCTAAGCAAAACATGCGCAGTGACCTATAGCTAAGGTAACTCTCTGTGTTTGACCGCACACACTGTTCCGGTGACTTTTTGCCTAGCAGTGTAACTTTGAGAATGCATGTCTCAACAACTTGGTAACAAGGTAGAAAGGCAAAGCAAGGCAAACACTTTGTGTGACACAATAACCTATAACATACCCAGAGCTATACCAACCATGTGGTTTGACACCGGCCACTTTTAGTAGTGTTCTGTAGCTTTTCGTGCAAATTACTTCATGAACAAGAGCCATCGCTTCCGATCTTATCCATTTTGTTTATCCGCATGCTGTTCAAATACACACACACTAACAAGGCGAGAGAAGAGTGGGGTGAAGGGACGTCACGTCATGAAAACGGAGAGGAACAAAGATTGTTACACCAAAAACTCATAGTTGAGAGCACACTAAATCGTCCTACCTCATGCATTGCTCCTAAGATTCATGTCGACTTATGGATCACGTACTACACATGTCCAAATTCTAAGCTCAGCAGCTTTGAGCACACAGTGCAGGGCACCTCAGCCCCAGCACAGTAGGGAGGGCAAGGTAAAGTGCTCCCGTCAGACTCCACCAGAACAAACACCCCAACCTCCCTCCCCCCATCAGCCACTCCACCAATGAATCTCTCAGGACTTTGGTCGAGACACTCAAACGTAGTTCGATAGTGTTCCTGTGAACTTTCACCAGAAGAGGACTGCGAGGAGACGAGATAGCCTCTGTACTCTGTCCTCCAGCCGTGTGGGCAGCTGAGGACACCTGGTATCATTAGAGTCTCGGGACTGCTTCTCACAAGGCACACGGCACACGGGACATCGTGATCGTGAACTTGAGCAAGTGGGGAATCCTGTGTTTCATACTCCATCCCATGCAGAAAACTCCTCGAGGAAAATTGAGTCCCACTCTCAAACGCTCCGTATTCGACAGTAAGAGGCATACACAGTGGTTAGCTCCACCTCCTCTGTCGGCAAACCTGCTCCCTGCGGCTTTTCCAGTGTAGACAGTGGTAGTTCTGGGGAGCTGGGGACACTCTGTTCTTCCCCAATGAGTGTAGGTAGTAGAAACTTCTGGAGCTGTTTGAGCAAAAGGATGTTGTTTGGTAGCTGTTTGAGCAAAAAATTGCTTGTGCATTCTAAAAAGCTCTAGTTATATATAGGTACAACTGTTTAGTATGCTCTAACCTTTTTTCCGTATTCTTTTCAAGACTCTGGAGCATTTGTAGTTATAGCCATAAACATTAATAGAACTGTCTTCGTGAGAGCTTTTACTTCCACTAGAACGTGATCCACTGCTATAGCTGACGGCTGCAGTCACAAGCAGCAGGAACAGTAGTCTCACGCAGTCGTTCTGACTTTCTAGTCCTACTGTAGGCTAAGCAATAATATTCAGTTACTGCTCGAATTCCACACGATTCATCAGCCTTTATAATACTCAGAAGCCCTATCACGATCAAATCCAAAACCAGTTACTTCCAGACACAACAAGATATAATGGCCCACTGTCCGCACTCATTGACAAAAGTTATTGCCTCATCTGCAGCCTTGCCAGATCGTATTTGGCCAAAGTACTACAGTACCCACAGGATCGCCATCTCTAAAGTACATTATACACTAGGTGGATCCCTACTGCAGAGTTTCGTTAAAAGGATTCGGCTCCAATTTTTGTTATGTTGCCAAGATATGTTGGCGAGGTGTGACCATAAACTCCCTAGTGTTGGTATAAGTGGCTACACGTGGGAGTAGAGGTGGGATGTATGGATGGAGTTCAAAAGAAGCACGGCTCCAAAGAGCAGCTTTTACACGGCTGATTGCATGCATAATTATAATTTTATGACCAATGACAAAAAAACTGGTTATAGTAAATCGGAATGATACTGAAAGATTTTTGTAACATTATGATGCTTCCTTTACTAATAGGAGCAAACGACACATGTTATTTCTTTTTCTTCCTCATAAGGGGGACAAGGGAGGGAGGAACACATTGCTTCTACGTGACCAAACAGTCCCACGTTGGAGATGTCCCCCACGCTCTCACGGAACGCTTCCGGACTACCGTCCACGCAGACGAATGACGTGCGTTCGTAGAACGAAAGGGTGGACATGAGGTAGCCCGAGTATTCCTCGGTCCATCCGGCAGGGCAGCTTAGTCGACCAGGGATCATAATATTCGTCGATTTCCCTCTCCTCATGCACACTGCGCATGGCGGGTCCTGCCCGCTGACCGCGCGCAGAGGTCCGTCTTGTGTGATGTAGTCCAGACCGAAGATAAACGCGCGATTTATCTGCGTCCCGGGCTCGATTTCGGCGTATTCCGGCGCGGGAGAGAACCGACGGGCAGGCAGAGGTAGTTCGAACCACCCCCTCGCTGATTGAATTTGCTGCCGGCGGCCTTTCCCGAGTAGACAAGCTCCGTCCCCGGCTTCTCCGGACAGTTTGAACGGCCCCAGCGAGTGTATGACGTTACAATATTATCTGCAAGAAGATGTACGAGAGTTAGCTAGATAATATAGCTAAAACTTTACTCCGTTTAGCTATACGTTCTCGTATAAAGCTATACCTTGCATATGAGGGTTCCTGGTCTTTCCTCCATTACTACTGCAGACGCAGAGCATAATAACAAGGATCAGAAGAAGAATCCTGCACAGAACCATTCTTCAGATCACTCCACTTCGGACACCAACTCGACACCGTTGCCGCTGGGCATGTAGATCTGCGCATGCGTAGCAATAATGACAACACGTCGCAAGTGAAAACTAAGATGGAAAACGAAATAGGACGCCAGTTATAACTGCCAGCCTCGTCTATACTACATTCAAACTCCCCCTCAACGCCTCTGACACTCGAGCCAATATGCCAACCATGCTATGGCGGGCTTTACAACACTAATTTGTGCTCGTAATTGCCTATGCATTAGTTTTAGTGTCAAAATATATACTTTTGTAAACCTGCAGCGTGTGAAAGTAGGTGTTATTGTGCCCTGAGTTGCACTTCGTGAGTGCGCATGCGCGTAGAACCAGGGCGTGGCCGCGGTGCAATGTTGAACGTGCTCTTCATCGGAGCGAGTACCGTGAATTTCGGCGGTGCTCCAGGTCCCTGGGACCACTCTCGACGCCTGGAGAAACTCGGCGGAGTCAAGGCAAGCAACACGTGTAGTTACACACACTATGATTATCAGCCCCACCCACATCCCCATTGTAGGTGGTGGGTATAGCTGATCCAGATGTGGGTCGAGCACAAGATATACTCAAACTGAAACTGCTGGGCCCCCATGCCCTCATGTACGAAGGCTGCCAGGTGTTCTCAACATATCAAGATGCCCTACTCAACACCAAAACCCACCTTGCCTTTATTGGTATGACTGTGTTACTGTATCATGATATGCTAGAGTTGCCAACTGTCCCTGATTGCTTTGAATTATCCCGGTATAGGTAGATACGAACTTTTGTCTTGGAGTTTTTGTCGCACATGATCCTGCTCAATGATCCGAGCATGTGCATTAGTCACATCTAGGGAAATTTTAATGTTTAGGAACACTTAGGGAAGGGACGGCAAGTACCCATGATGTCTTTTATCTTCTAATTACACCATCCCTGCTCAAGTTAGGGCTTGCTGTGCCACCATGTACAGTAATATTTGGGGTTGTGCTATTGTGTTTATTGAGTTGTAGCTGGCCTCTGCTGAGCTGCCCTGGCTGGGGAGCAGAGTCTCATGGGTTGTCAGTCCCACCTCTTAGCTAAGTTAGCTTTAAAGGGAGCAAAGCCACATAGTGCCAGCTAGAGCCGATGCTGACAATGGAGGTTCTGGGGACAAGGCTACACCTATGGCGACCTTTACATATGTGTCAACCTTCTAAGAGTGAAAGTGGGAGAAACAAATTGGGACATAGGTGATCCATAAAACCTATTGCATGTAAATCTGCAGAGAATGCTAATGTCTCAGGAAGCAACACCCTGCAAGATGCTGTGTCTGACTCCTTAGAAGAAATCAGTTTGAAAACCCTGGAAAACACCCAACAATGGCTTAAACATAGCAAAAAGCCAGGGTAATGCAGGCCACAGTTAGTAATGTGTATATACCATCGTTTTGACTGTTTACGCTTGGTTGTATAGCTGATAAGCTCTGACACATACAACGATCATTAATTTTCTAGGGGTTCACCCCTCACGTTCATGGCAGTCCGACCCCACCCCATGATATGGAGCTGCAACTGTTGAAAGCTGGAGTACATGTGTTTGTGGAGAAACCGGTGTCCCTCCAACCTCCAGAGATATTCCTACCTTATGTCCAGACTGTTGAAGAGCTCAGGAAAGAGAAGGGGCTGATAGTTAGTGTGGGATACATGTTTAGGTGAGTCAAAAAGCACAGGAACAGTATATACAGTAAGATAGTGTTCTCAATTAGTTTTCGTATATCTAGTTATTATGTGTTTACACCCGTGCCTGCAGTAAAACAAAACTGTTCAAACCCTTATTGGGAGGGGTAGTGAAGGGACAGCAAAGTAGAGGAGAATAAGGGGGATAGGTACAGAGAGATAGTGTTGCTACCCCACCCAACTATATAAGGGGCAGTTGGCTTGTTACTTGTGTGTGGATTCCACATACACGATAGACTCATTGTTGAGTGAAGCAAGCCTATAATTACCCTCGGTGCGCATGCACAGCGAGGGTACTGTAGTTGGGTCTGTCTGTGTGTGTGTCTGTTACTCTACATCTCACCTCTCGGATGTCTGTTCGTCTCACAAACGATGCGACGTACTTAACGGGCAATGAAGGTCAGAATTTATGAGCGTTTTTCTCTGAAAACGCTCCGTTGCAAAGCTAGAGCGCTTCCACCATTTTACGGCTAATGCGTAGTCGGCCATTTTTATCGCTGCGGAAAATGCGCATGCGCTTATATTTAGCACAGGCTTACCTCGACTGGGTCCGCTTGCTCTGTGTGTCTAGAAGGCACAAGGCACAAGAAGTCACAACGAAGGGCGTGTATCGACTCTCGCATGCTATCTACTACTGTAGCTAGCCCGTGTCAGACTCTCTGCGAGGTATATACTAGCGAGAGACCACGAGTAAACGCATACTAAAAGGCAATAGCCCAGCCCATCAATTAGCAGTATCGCGCACGCGCAGTTCGCTGAGGGTTTGCACTTTAGTGCTTTTCATATGAATATGAATAACGTGGCACAGCACACATGCCGTACTTTTTTTAACATGCGAAACAAAATTTTTCTGCTCATGTTCACTTGCAAAAATGATACATTATTGGTGTGTCCTGTGCCTACCTGATAAGGTACCATCCAGCTGTGGAGAAGATGAAGTCAGTGCTGGCAGAGCACGGTCGTCCGGTGGTGGGTCTGTCAGCCATCTACCAGTGTGCATACTCCACTCTTGACAGACCTCTCTGGTGGAACATGGATACCTCTGGAGGCAAGTGCCCCAACAACCACCGGAATTGACATGCATGATATTTTTCACGAGAACGAATGCAACACACTTTTGGCGAGAAGCGAGCAGTTCAATATTTTGCTCGTGTTATTGTGCATATATAGAATCACATAAAAAGTACGGATGTTACAGACAGATGCATGGAAACATTCATCATTCAGACAACTAGGTGGGCTTGCTTATAACAGAATTGAAGGGTGGTATGGATTTTACCATTCATTATTTGCCACTACCTTTCATTTTTGTAGCCAAGGGGTATTAGCAGAAACGGAATTTGAGCATGTTATCGTGAAAAACCAAAAATCTAGCACCAAACCACCAAATTTATTGATTGTAGGCATGGCTTTTCCTTTAGCATATTAGTATTACAATGAAATGTCTTTGCAGGTCCTATAGTGGAGCAGGCCACCCATTTCTGTGACCTAGTCCGCTATCTCGGAGGTGAAGTGAGGCCTGAGAGTCTGCAGGGGCTCTGTGTCCCCTACTCCGGGGAGCCCGCCTCGGCTGGCTACCTCACTGCCGTTCCTGGTAACATTCGTGAGGCCAGTCTCTTACCCAGCCAGAGAATACCACGCTTCACCACCGGTTAGGGAAACTTTAATATTATGGATGGGACCTGTTGTTTTACTATTATCGTATACAGACATGCAATGCACGAAATATTTGCCTTTGTTTCCCATCCGCAGTATTTGTTTAACACCATAATGATTTTTTGTGAACTTACAGAAAATACTTGTTGCACCCTATGTGCTATTCTCTTTCTATCTAATAAATTGCCAAGCAAAGCAAGCCTCCTACCTATTATAGTATATATATAAATTATAATCGTCTGAATTGTGCTTCACCGAGGGTTTGCACTTTAGTGCTCTGCTGCCACATCGGTAATAATCTGTACTTGATTCTAAATGCAACTCACTCCAGACTTGCTTCGTACAACATTTTTACTTGTCACATGCAGCTCACTGGTCATTTGAGGGAGGTGGTGTGGGCTCACTAGTACACGGAGCCGTGCTCCAAGGACGTCGCTATGAAGCGAGACTAGAGGTTTGGGCTGATGGTCTCACGAATTACCCTGGATGACCCTTACACTGACGGCTGCACTCTCAAAATCAGAAGAGGTAGGTTTTCAAGCAAGAATCCTTAGGTTTTTTTTCATGGGTTGGTGGTTTTATAGGAATGCATAATAGAGTGCTGTTGAAAGCAATGTACAGTGTGGTCTTGTATGTTTTATGCTGGCAGAAACCACACAACCAAGTAGTGCCCTAAAGACAAGTCCTAGTGTTCTTAAACATCTCCATCAACTTCAGACAACAACTTTATGATGAGTGTTCAGCATAATTGTAGTGGTGGCGAAGGGTGCATTACAGTTGTGAAGATAAAAGGGGCCACTAGCCTATGGTCTAGCATGTATGAACATGATTGTACATCAGTAGCTAGTATTATAATATAACTCAGAGTATTTCAAATATAGTGTCACCCATGAGTGAATCTCTTAGCACTTTAAACAATGTTAGGGGCCACAAGCATTCGTGTAATGACTGTTTCGACTGAATCTGATATTCTCCAGGTTCAGATGACTGTGAGGAAGTGTTTACTTATGCTGGTGCAGACCCATACCTGGCTGAAGACAGGGCCTTCCTGACTGCTGTGACGTCTGGAGACTCCACTCACGTCCTCTCCAGCTACTCTGATGCATCCAAGACGTATGCCCTTAGCTGGGCCATTAGGAACGTCTCTATGTCAGTCTAGTTGACTCTAGAGTGTGCCGAGTTAATTGTATACTGTTTCTTATCTGCTGCGCACGCGAGCACACGCATGCGTATAATATATCACAGGCTTGGGGTGTGGCTCATACACGCAAACGACTCGCTATGGCGGAGAAACTCCGTGAAAGGCTGAGGGCTGTAGAGTTCTACGCTGGAGTCGGAGGCTTCCACTATGGTTTGTTGAGGTCTGAGGCTCCGGCAGATGTTGTCGCGTCGTTCGATCTCAACCCCACCGCCAATGCGATCTACGGACACAACTTTCCAAATACAGCGCACCTCAATCGCAACATATGCGGTCTCTCGCCGGCAGATCTCGACCGCCTCCGACCCGACATCTTCCATATGTCTCCTCCGTGTCAGCCGTTCACGCGCCAGGGACTCCGCAGAGACAAAGACGACCACCGTACGGACAGTTTCTTTCACCTGATGTCCCTCATTCCCCAATTGAGTTGCCCCCCTAATTATATCCTAATGGAGAACGTCCAAGGCTTCGAGAGATCGCACACGAGGGCAGAGTTTACCGAGACACTGAAAAAGGCAGGCTACAGTTACCAAGAGTTTCTCCTGTCCCCTAGTCAGTTTAGAGTCCCAAATTCGCGACTTCGCTACTATCTCTTGGCGAAAAAGAGGCCTCTGGAGTTCTGTATGAGTCCAGTCGAGCAGCCTAGTCAAGATGCTCACGCTTTGACAGAGTTTTCTCAGGAGATGGCTGTCCAGCAAGGTCCAGGTGTGTATTACACTGCTACGCTGCATAATGCATGAGCCATTGATTTCCTCATATATGGTATGCTTGTTTTACTATTGCTTACTGGCAATAAACTGGCGGGCGTAGTGTTTTTGCACTTTGCAACTTTTGTACGCACTGCAATTGTATGTACTTGACTCACTTAGTTTGTGAATTACCACCATAAAATCTCTGTTTCTTTTACAGCTCACTCCTCTTCCATTGAACCCTCCCTCTCTCCCTACCTCGAGAACCACTCTGAATCATACCTACACTCACTACTAGTACCTACTCACATCCTCTGCAAGTACGCTCTAGCCATGGACATTGTACGACCAGACTCCACCCATTCTTGTTGCTTCACACGAGGATACGGGAACTATGCCGTTGGTACTGGCTCCGTCCTTCAGCACTGTCTCGCTGAAGACGACATGCACAGCTGTTTCAAGATTTTCAAAGAAAAGGGAGAGCATGGAGACGCGGAATCTGCAGCCGAGGCTCTTCTGCCCCTCAAGTTGAGATACTTTTCGCCGAGAGAGGTGGCCAACTTGATGTGTTTCCCGCAGGATTTCTCGATCCCAGCCGACGTGACTATACGACAGAGTTACAAAGTTCTAGGGAACAGTCTGAATGTACTTGTTGTATCAATACTGCTGAAGTACCTCTTATGTGACAACAGAACGTTTTAAACCACTCTTTGTGCTTCTTTTTAACTTTCCAGCACTGGTGCTAATCATGCATTTTGCTATCCATATATTTACAAGAATTCTCTTCAATTGATCTAGCTACTACGCATGAAATAAAAGCAATGGCGCATCTTGCATGGGCACAAACTTGTTGTTGCATTGTTCATACTTTAAGAGGGTATTTTCCTCCCAAAAATTCAACCAAATTCCCATAGTATACAACAACATTTTTCTGAATTTTAACACTCTAAAACCCAAAAATATACACTACTACACTGTTACTTTCTTCTGAGCATGCAAGAGTTGCTTTATTCTGTGGATGGTGTTGGCGCACATGGCCCCGCTCTGACACTCCTTCAGCCCCTGACTCCTCTGTAGCCCACTCACACACTCTCTGAACACTCTGATGTCCCTTGGAGCCGTCGACATGGGGTTAAAGTTATCACCCAGGTACTTGTCTAGTCCAATTCTGCAAAGATGTATGTAATACACGACAGTGAGTCAAAAGGTGGATGCAAGAGAGAATATTATGCAACAGTAGACTGTAAGTCACAAAGAGAAAGCTAATAAAAATTAATACGTGAAACTGTGAAATCACAACATATGCGTAAAGTGTGAACGAGAAAAAACTCTTGTGTGGATTCATAACCCATCTTTGATTGGTTGATTGGGAATCTCAGAAACAAAATTCACCAGACATACAGTACTACTAAGTATAACTAAAAAAACCCTGCGTGCTGAGGGATAGCGTCTAAATTAGATGGGGTCTTCAACAGTCCAGCACATACCTAACCATGCTGGCGTAGATGGTGATGTAAGCCTGTCTGAGGAACTGGTAGGTGGTGGGGGAGAGGTGACCAGTCTCTGGTACCACCACCGAGAACTGGGCCTCGTGGTGGTTGTGGGCTCGCTGGAGAAGGGACATAGCTATTAGCCCCTTTAATAAAGAGGTAATAATATAGCTTTTGTTGTGTATGATTTAGACCGCCCTTTTGAACCGCAAAAGAAACCTTCGCCTTGTTTTGACCATGTCATCAAATTGACACACTACAAGTTACGGTATACCTGGAATGTCTTGACGGCATTGAGAGTGATGTCATCGTATTCCCCTGTGATCTTGTATGACACACTCAGGTAGTTGAGCCTCTGGAGATACATCTGCACAATCAGAGTACATGGGAGATAGCATAATATTCCTGGACAACACTGATCCTCGAGGGCGGGTGGGACTCAAACCCACAACTGGACTCTTCTATTGTACCTAGGTACACCAGGGCATTTCAGCAGGCAAGGCTCAAAGTATTGTAATGTAAGTGCACCATTCACCATTATTGTATTATCATTTGCACAGTTTAATTTAAAACTGGACGTCATGCAGACCTGAGCTTGGAGTGTGATGGTGTGAGCAGCTTCAGCGATAGACTGTGGAGTGTTTCCGTACAAGTGGTTTGTGACAAACGCTGTCTCCAGCTCCCTCCTGTACTCCAGAGTTAGGATCATTTCAGAACCACCACTGCTGCCTCTAAACTCCAACGAGAGTTGGTCCTTTTTCGAGTCCGGGTTTGCGTCGGCATTTTCTTGTGCTTTTTCCCCACGTTCATCTGGAAGATTTCCACGATTGTTGTTTTCTAAGACCAGATCCAAGTTTCTTCTGCTGTCTGAGCCACCAGCTGGCTTCCTCTTTACACCGTCACTTGCGTCTACAAGAAGATGAGCTGATTCTTCTTTTTCGTTTTCATCTCTGTCATTTTCGCTGTGCCCTGTTGGAGGTTGACTTGATATACAATCTTCGTGTATTTCAGCTTCTATCATGATGATGTTCGGATGAGCTGATTGTGACTCTTGCAAGCTGTCGGACCGAGACCTAGTAATCTCCGAGTTTCCTGACCGTGACCTAGTAATCTCCGAGTTTCCTGACTGAGACCCAGTAATCTCTGAGTTTCCTTGTGAGTTTCCTGAGCGAGATCTAGTAATCCTCGAGAGTACAGAGCGGGAGGGGCTCAGCTTTGAGTTTCGAGTGTCGACAGAGTCTGGAGTCGGTCGACTGGACTGCCTCAGTCGCCGATGCTCACTCCTTACTGACATCCCTCCCACCTGGAATACAGCAACAACAAACACGTTTCTTTATTTATTTATAATTATTCATAGAACTGTCTACATGAATAATATAATTAATAATAGCGGCTTTTTCATATATTCACCTACATGTATGGTGGGAGTTAATAAAAACAGCTATATACAGCTATCTGCAAGTGGGTGTAGGCTCAAGTCTAAGCTTTTAAGAGGTGTAGCTGTCTACAATAATAACCTTTTCGACAGATTTCCGCTACCATTTATTTTTTACCTGATTGGTAAATGTATCTTCTTCTATCTGATCATCGGCGAGGTTCTGACTCAGGACATATGGAGACCACAGAGGCGATGGGGTATCGTTTAAATGTCTTAACCTGCTCCCCGGATGAGGGAGGGGGCAAAGGTTACCATCTTTTCCTTGATTGATTGAGCCCCGAGTGCTACTGTAGTACGGTGGAGACATGGGAATGTCGAGAGTGTGACTGCGAGTTACAGACGAAGGGTAGATGAGGCAGGAATCACTATGCGAGCTGTCGGTCTGAAGACTTCCCAGCCTCTCAAGTTGGAGTACGTGGTTCAGGTCAGACTTGTGAGAATCATAGTCACCAGTTGGCAGTACAATGAGTTTACGTCGATCTGTCAAGAGAGTAACACAATGATTTTACAATCATGCCGAGAGTTGTACGAGGAAAAGACTAAAGAATGAACATTTCACATAAACACAACTTCTTGCAAATTCTCTCAGTCCTAAGATTTCCCCACGAGTGCTAAAATTCCCAAGCTCTATAATCACTGGACTATGAAATAGGTAGAGGATAAAGCTACAAGATATAATACCTTTCAACTGTCACACCCATAGATTTTACTACCACATCTCTATAACAAACAAATGTACACGTTATTATACCTATGCTCTTGACATTCACACAGATTGCAGATCCAAGGGGGACAGTTCTGGTGTACAGTCCTTCGCTTTTTGAACCTTCACATCGAAGCTGTTTCAGCTGAAATTGAATAAGTATTTCCCTGATAAAAGAAGTGTCATGATTAGTGGAGGCTTACCATGAATTGAGTAATTGCTGGATTAGTGCTGCTCTGTGGCACTCTAAAGAATGTGGTGGCGATGCAGTATAATACATCAACTGTATAATTATGGTTCAAAGACATTAGCACTGACCTTATGACAGCAACTTTGGCAAAGTGCTGGTAGCTGGCTGGGACAAGAGCACACCTGAATAACCTGCATTAGTATATACACACACATTCATTGTCTTATACACACTGCACACGTAGGTGTAGCGGCACGCACACGTTGCATTATGGCGTGCGTTTTGCACACTCCGCGTTCGCGTTCGCGCCGTCTGCAAATTTTCATACTGCGCATGCGCAAATACGCTTTTGCACACGGCTCTCTTCCGCACGCACGCGCTACGTTGCACGCGGCGCGGCGACGCTCGCACGCGCACACACGCGCCCGGCTCGTTTGAATTAATGGTCGTTGCGTCTGCACACGACCGAGTGACTGGGGATATAAAAGCCGTGCCTCCTCGCCACAGCTCAACAACCGAAGTTTTCGACAAACAACAAATCCAGTGACAGCCACTAGCTTCTCTTCCACTCACTTCAGCACCGAGAAAAGAACCGAAATGGCCGATAAGGGACACTGCAAAGTTGGTACGTTGCTATTACTTAGTCAATCGAGTCGGTTGTTACCCTCTCTTCTTTTGTATCTCTACTGACTAGCTGGTTGTAAGTGCGGAGACGACTGTAAGTGCGGAGCCGACTGTAAGTGCGGGGATTCGTGCAGCTGCGGACCAAAGTGCACCAAATGTGGTTCAAGTAAGTGCCTGAAAATTACAGCGGGGCCATACACTCCCGAATGCTCTCTCCTTCAGCCTGTTTAGTATTTTACTCTTCCCTCCCGTCCCAATAAGTCTGTAATCTTGGTGTGTTCACTCCTTTAGTCAGTCCCAGTTTTGCCCCCTTACACCTATTTCGGACCATGAATGTTCTCTCCTGCCCTACTAAGAGCCTGTTTAGTCACTCTTTTTCTCTCTCCCCCACCTCAATAGAAGACTGCCAGTGTGGCCCAACCTGCGCGTGCCCGCCAGACTGCAAGGCTGAGAGCTGCTGTATGTGCACCTGCCAGGGATGTGCAAAAGACAAGTGCGAGTGCGGAGACAAGTGCCGCTGCCCCAATGACTGCTGCAAGGGCTGTGCAAAGGCCTCCTAAGACTCTAACTCTGCTTGTATACATGTCGACATGTATCTTCAGTGTTCATTTGTTAATGTTATGTGCTTGAAAAGAGTTTTTGTCACCTGCTGCATACTGTTAATTACAGTACTTACTTCTTGTGAGTCACTCTTCACAAACTGTGCATGTGTAATTCAGCATTGAAAGGCATGTGCATGTACTACATATATACACATAGGGGTACATACTCAAAAGAAACAAGCCCTTAGTCATAGTGCACTAGCTGCTAGCTGAACCACAACACATTCCTTGTGTGCAAGCATGATAGCAGTGCTTCCTGTACAACAGGCCTGCCTATCTGGAATGTAGGGGTATCTATCCCCTTGCAGCCCATTGCCTCACACCAGTCAGGGGATATTAACAACTGTGAGTCTTGGCAGTTACACTAAATGTCGGTATCAGTATTTATGCACATTAGTCATATACCTTGCTCTATTTAGAGCCCAGTCTCTGATCACTGCAACCTGATATCCCTGTACTTCAGTGTCGGAGGCCACCATCTCCAGTCCTGAGCCAGGCAGGGAGCAGAGGGACGAGAAGTATTCCCTCTCACACACCACAAACTCCATGACCCTGCAGCATTGCAAACAACACGGAATGGTCACTGGGGTGAAGTTAGCCTTTGTTCCCGGGTGTCTCACATGGGAAGGCCTGGGAACAAGGCTAGTCACAAGTTTTGTTGTTTCCTGTTGCGAGACACCCAAGATGACATGAAAAAACTAGCTGCCCTGGATGGGACTCGACCCACTCTAGGCAGAGTTACAGTAGGACTTATCCTACTGAGCTACTGTTCCACAGAGCAGGTAAGTATTATAAGTGAGCAAGCAAGAGACACACCCGGCAGGACAACAGTTGCCCTCCATGGTGGAACAAAAACCCTGCATTACTCTACATGGAACTCGTAATAATATAGATGGAACTCGTAATATATAAAGGGTAGCTACCAGCTATCTTTCCATTGTGAGTGGAGCTGTGACTAACCCCTGAGGTGCCTGGAGGGTCTCTGGAGAAAGGGAGGCGATAAAATGTACGGCTGCCTCGAGAGTAGTGAGATAGTAGCCAGCCTCTCCACACGCCAACTGCGGGTTACCGTAGTCTATCATGAATAACAGGTTGGTGGCCTGTGTGTGTGTGTGCGTGTGTGTATGTGTGTGTGTGTGTTGGGGGGAAGGAAAAGGGAGGGGGAGGAGGTAAGGAGAAAGTAGTGGGAAGAATTGTTGGGATACAGAGTATCAGTAATGGATCACAGTCTCTGCACTAACACCTACACCTCACCCAACTTTTTCTATCCTACTACATCTATCATACTACACAACATCTGCTGTTTTCAGATTGTCTGACCAAAAAATACTCCCTGTGGCTTATGTATTTGTGAGTATATTATATAAACAGAGAGGAAAAGGGAGGAGGGAGGGAGAGGGAAAGATGGGGGAGAATTGCTTTAGGTTAAACTGTATATGTTCGTACAACCGGCAAATTGAAGCCCCAGAGAGGTTTCAGATTGAAACGTGAATTTTGAGCGTACATGCAAAAAAATTTTTTTTAAATAAACGAACAACAAACTCACAAGGTCTTTGATGTTGGCTTTGATGATGACGTAAATCCAGAGATCAAGGAAAGCGTCGCCGTCGATGGAGCTTTCTCCAATGTCGCCCAGCCTGTCGTAGAGGGCCTTGGCAGCCCCCACCACACTGTACATCTTGTCAGTCGGTGTTGAGGAGAAATACGACGCTCTGTGTAATGTACAGTACATGTGTACATAGATGTATATACCATAAATGAAAGGCATTTTATTTGTGAGTGAACAAGAAAGCGAAACTTCAGAGTATTAGGTGCAAACATTACGGTATGAGAAATCCCGTCTACACAAGAAAAATGACAGAATTCATACGACTATGTGCACTTTGCTCGCTAGTAACCCGATATAATGGTTACATGCATTACGCTATAGTGCCCATAACAGCATTCAGGAGAAGGTATATACAGGTTTGCAAATTACAGGGAACAATGTGATCCATGTAAACCCCGACCAGCTGGTAGCTATAAGTTGTTACAGCGCTTGCCTAGAAAGCAGAGTGTCGTGGGTTCGAATCCCACCCAGGGCAACTGCTTCTTTTTCCAAGAAAGAGCTGTCCTGGGTGTAGTTGACTTGTTTGCTTTTCCTTGCCTTTCTACCTCGCTACCTAGTTGTTGACACATTACCTAAGTTGAGTGATGGCCTCAATGAAAGGGACGGGCTCGTTACTGCGGAGACATGGCCTGACTCGTAACTGGTCCTGTGTCACGCCAGAGAATTCCAGGCATTTGCTGGACACCAGCTCGTCTCTCTCTGTTTGGGCCACTCTTCGGATGATGAGGGGCTTTATTTGGGGCATCACACAGTGCTCCACTGCATTCTGTGGTGGAATAAAACAACACTTACTCCCAATGAGTACTATGTTACCAACACTTACTGTAATGCACTATGAGTATCTTGGAGCCTTAGTATTTAATACTCTGAGAGAACGAAATACAATTGGCACATAAAAACTACTTACTATCCCTGCCACCGCTTACGCTTACATTACTTTTGAACATAGCATTCGGTTTGACAGTACTAAGTTTTGCAGAATTCGTCCCATACCAGTACACCCTCCTAAAACATGGACTTAATGTGTAGGGAGGAAGAAATGCTATAGCTCAAGCACTCACATAGACTAGTTCATGAGATATGTCTTCTCGTTGCCAGTTCTTCTGCTTCTGTACAATGTAACTGCAGAGAACACCCATGAACTCTTGGTACCTATCTCTGTGGACTCCTATTGCTGGAGGTAAGAAGGAATGGGAGGGCGGGAAGAGGATAGGGGAGGGGAGGAGAAGGGAGGAAGTACACACCTTTTGGGGTGAGGGGAGAGGGGAGAGGGAGGGAGGGAGGGAGGGAAGGAGGGTAATGGGGAGGGAGGTAAGGGAGGGGAGGTAAGGGAGGGAGTGGGAGGGAAGGGGAACGAGGGGAGGAAGAGGGAGAGAGAGTGAGGCTAGGTTCACAATATGTCGCTTCGCCCTGTCGCGCCATGCCGAAGCAGTGTACAATTGGCTCAAAGCAAATATTACTATTCCATACTCTAGCTATAGTGAAACTCTCGTGGATGGTTGGTTTGTCTTTCCTGCAACTCACGTTCTTTCAAAAAATGCAAAATCGTTAAAACCCTTGGGAAGGGGAGAAGAGACTAAGGCGAGATAAGAATATGGCATCAGGATAGGCAAGATAGGGGACAGGGCAAGCGAGAGAGAGAGTGTTTTAATAGTACACTCTAAGGGAAGGGGTGTCTGCAAACATGAAAAGGCTGCAGAATGTGCAATGTTTGTATGTATAATTATAAACATACGTTGATGGTTGTCACTGCTCTCGCAGTGTTGAAAGCACTCGGCTACATACTCTTGCACTTTCTGTGACTCCAAGTGGTGTTTTTTCGCTGCAATAAACATTCATTACATTACTGTATATACATATACACATGTGCATATTATGCATGCACATAAACCACGTTGCACATGTTTATGCATGCGAATGTGTAAAGGTGCAAACATGCCATTCTCACTAACAAAGTACAGTTGAATTTC